TCCCAAAAATATTCAGCTTTGATATTAATGAGTCTTTTGGGTTCATTAAGAACATGGTTGTTGTTCAATAATAAAATTAATCCTCAAAAATACAACTTGCCTAATAATTCTGCAAATAGTAAACATTGTTGATTTTTCTTGATTAATCATAACTAATTATTTTACAGCTACCCAGTGATACTTAGATAAAAAAAATTACGATTAATTTCCACCTAAAAAAGCAGAGGAAAAGTCAGTTACAGTAAATACTGTATATACTTACATCACTATCTGACGAGCATCCTGAGTAGAGGCCAAGCCCTTTAGCATTTTTCTCTTCTCAGCGTCATACTTGGTGTAATAATACATTTGGTGCAAAGTTGTCCAGCCTTCATCTGACTGAGCAGCCACATTGAACACGACTTGCTGCAGATCACCTGGTATCCTAAACATACAAAGTAAATACACATGTAATAAAGACAGGAACCAATAAGAGAGTCAAGGACTTTTTGTTTTGTATTTTCTCATGATGTTTTCATTTTGGCTTTTACTTACCGTACTGTAGCATTCGATTCCACATGCTGTTTGAAAAGTTCTTTGGCTTTTTGGATGCACTTCTCCTCATTCAGACTGCACGCTGTCTCCAGCAAGGCTGAGCGTAACACCTGTTTGGAGACACTGTCCTCTTCTTCCCATGTTTGTTTGTCCATCAGAGGACCCAAAAGATGAAGAATAAAATCCTGTCAAATGAAAATAGAGAGTTTTCCCTAGAAGCACAATTCCTGTCGGATTTGCTGACAGTCATTGTAATTTCATCACTCTGATAAAAACCTGCCTCAAATGCTTAACATCGTTAATCGCCTTTGTTTTGATTTATCAGTTCAGTAAGCTACAAAAAGCTCACAAAGACAATGTTCTGATCTAAAAGAAGAGAATGAGTGATTGCTGTGTGGTGTGTAATTTATTACAGTATGAGATGGTACGGCTCATCTTTCTTTGTAATGGATCATGTGAAAGCAGAGGACACTGTTCTAGTGTTCAGAGTAAATGCCTCAATCGTATTTAAAATAATCTCCTAAAAAAACAATTCATTTTTTGGCCCATTTGAATATTTATGAAAATATGTGAAAGATGATGTGAGTGCAGAAGATATTTGCATTAAATATTACATTTCTGGATCAGGAACTACTAAAAAGAAAAAACTGATTTTCTTAAATCTTATAAATACGTTGAGCATCAATCAATCAATCAATCAAAACAAACAAACAAAAAAAAAAAAAAACTAACCAATGGCAGGGGCGTTTTTGCTTGACAATGTTTCTTAAAAAAACACCCAGAGGTCTCACCTTTTAAGGGTAAAAATGCCCCAACATTAAATGTTTAACATTGTTTATACTTTGTTGGTGATAAATTCTACCTTAAAAGAGGATGGGTTATCAAATAAAGGAAAGTAATCAATTACATGCTAATTAAGATTGTTTCTTTGACACAAGGAGTCAACATTTCTATTTTTCAATTGAAGGTTGTTGAGTAAAAATCAGTGTCTGGACATTACCTTTAAACGAGCAACCAGACCATATTCCTGTCTTTTGTCCAGCAGCCTATAGATATTGTTAAGCTGGAACAAGGCCTCTGTCACAGGTGGAGTCTCCGTTTCATTGGACAAGTAGTTTAACAAGTTGAGCACCTGACGAAATGAAACACGTCCCAGTCTGTGAACAGTTGAGGAAAAACAGTAAGGGAACAAACAGTAAGGGGACAAACAGTAAGGGGACAAAAATTTGATGAACAAAAGGAAAAAAAAAACAAAAAAAATTGCGTGGTTAACTTAAAATGAATCTTTTAAAGATTTATGTTTCTCTTGCCTTGAGAGCGCAAACATGTTGTGAATGAGCGAGGCACGGTCTTCACTACTAAGAACGCTGACATTATTGGACAGCGCCGTCCTAAGAGCGGTCCAGCCGTCATCATCGTAGTTAACGATATAGAAGCCTGTGTTTCTGTAGTTCAGCTTCAGCCACTTTACACTTTCTGATACTTTAAGCGTGGCTAGGAAAATCATCAAGACAACAACAATGTTAATAGACATGGACTCTTACTGTGGCACAACTTTGCTGAACTGGAACGTACAGTACATTTACACATCACATAACTTATCACATCATCAAGTCTCATACATCATTATAAAACAGTGAACATATTTTTTTCTGTTTAAGGCTTAAGTCCTGCAACAACATTTGACCTTGTACCTAATGAAATAACAATACCTGTTTTGGTCTTCAGAGTAAACACCTGTTTGCATTCAGGGCCCAAACTACAGCTGTCATTTACATATGTCACTGGAATATTCCACAAGCTGGAGAGAGAAGAGAATTATAAATTCCAGAGTCTCTTTATGATCTCTTTGTGGTTTTGTAGAACTGTAACCTACGTGGGAGTGTGAGTGACATTGTCAGATGTCAGGGTGAACTGCTGCTGTGTGAGGATCACGTCGTCACCCCTGCGACTCACTGTGACCAGAGGGAAACCCTTCTGAGATGTCCACGTGCTCATCATCTCTGACACGTTCTGGTGCTGAGTTGAGAATTCAACCTTGACACAAAGAGATAAATACAAAGTCAATGATCAGTGGGATGCAACGGTCGTGTGCACATTACACACAGAACTGACATCGACCCTTTTCTCTAACCGTAACCATTCCAAATAGAAGGGTAATCTGATTCAGATTCTAATCCGAACTCAACACTAACTACTGATAACCTCACTCAGTGTGGCCATGCAATTTGTCCCCACAAAGCAAAGGGTTTCCACAGAGATAGCATTCTTCAAAACACTGTGTGCACAAGTATGGCTATACAAATATCATACACACGTACATACATACCTGTGTTAAACTGTTCCAGAGATCACTGGTGTCTGTATTTAATCCACTGAACTGTTTCAGGTACTGAATGATGCCCTTTTTGAATTGTTGGTCTCCTGGCAGAGAGGCGTTCAGCATCAGAAGAATTGACGCTCCCTGATGACAAATTAAAGTTGAGCAGTGAGTATTTGTAGTGACAAAGAGAGATCCAATATGTACTAACAATATCATCACACTTTCGCAAGCTAACTCAGAATACTCTTTAACAATCGGTCACAAAACAGTTTTGTCCTCAGCACATTATACAAATTTACAATTTATCATGAGACTGATGACAACTTTGAATATGCAGTGTACAAAGTAGAGGATCTTGATTATTAAAAAAAGAACATTTCCAGCAGGACAGGAAAGTCAAACCATGTAAATTGTATAAAAGGTAAGTAGGAATACTTTTGAAATGGAGGCATGAGTAGTTTTATTTATCAGCTTATAAAATTTTATCAACATTTCTCGATGACCCGGTAACGGATAAGTGGATGAAAATGGATGGATGGATGGATGGGGGTTAAACCCCACCTGACTGCGATCCTAAAAATCCTATTTTTGTGCTGGCATAACTATAAGAACTGATACGGTTGTAAAGACAAAAGGTCACCACAACAATATACAAATTTCCATCTCTTTGCTTACATTGTACTAGACAAAATAAAATGGGCATTTGTCAAAAGGATTTTTTTTCTACTTCATAGAATTATTTTCGCACCTTGTTCAATCCTTTGCCCAGTACTCTATACAGTATTTGACATTAATCATAAATGTGTACCTTTTCATATGAGACAGAGTCAAACATCTCCTCCACTTGTTCTGCTGCGTTGACTTCAGTTGATACAGCATGGGAGGAATTCATTGCATCTTTGTCCAAGGCCCTGAAGCGAACTGTGAGGAATATATCACCCTGCAAACAAAGACACACTTTAAATATGAAGACAAACAGTGAAGCAAAAATAATGAACCTGCTTCAAGATAAAGCGACACAATTAAGTGCCATGTGGAAGGATTTACAATATCAAGTTCAGGATAGACTGTCTGCAGTGACATAAACTGCATGTAGGTGGCAAAACCTTCATTCAGCCACAGGTCGTCCCACCACCTCATAGTAACCAAGTTTCCAAACCACTGAAAGAGACAATTAGACACAGATTATGACTCTGTACATATTTGTTATATAAAAACAACCCACAAATGTAGACAAATTACCTGATGAGCCAGCTCGTGTGCTATGACAGATGCAACTACTTGCTTCTCCAGAGAGGACGACAGATTGCTAACCAGAAGAGTGGTCTCTCTGAAAGTGATGAGACCCCAGTTCTCCATGGCTCCTGCCAGGAAGTCAGGGATGGCCACCAGGTCTGTGGAAAAAAAGATGTGAAAACTTTTAATTGATTAAATAAAATAAATATGATTTAAAACATGTCTCTTACGTGTACTGTATAAATGGTCTCCATTTGTAGTTACCTAGTTTTTCAAGAGGGTAATTAATTTCAAAGAAATTGTTGTAGAACTCCAGGAGTCTAGAGGCTGCCTCCAGAGCATACGTAGTGTGCTGCTTTTTCTCTGGCACTGAATACACCGACACCTGAGGAGCCACACATACCAGAAACCCACAGAACATATATAAAACAAAGCAGATTGACTGACAAAACCAAAGAATTGTTGTTTAAATCACATCCACCTGCGTGTTTGAGACATTTGTGCTGATGGGGGTGAAATTAGCAACAATAAAAGCCACCAGGTAGGTGCTCATGTTGACTTTAGAGTGTTCAAACTCATCTTGAATGAGGCCTCCAGGAAGAGTTGTGGATTGAGCCTATAAAATATAAACAACACACATAACTTCCATCTGATGTGCTCATGCTGGCATCCAACAAAATTGCTTTTAAAGCTAATACAGGCGAAAACAAATGTATAATTTTATTACACTAAATATAATTATAATAATACTAAAGTGAAAAGATGAAAAAGAAGTAATGAAGAGAAGATGCTTAAACACTACAGAGTGAAATTAGATTTGAAAAGATGTTAAAGTACCTTAGGCATATTAGAAAGAGTCATTAAGTCTGGTTTTCTGTTGATTTTAATCAGAAAGGTGGCTTTAAAACTGGGCTCATCAAAGCAGGGGAAGGCCTTCCTAGCTGATAGTGGTTCAAACTGGGTTGCAGCCAAGACCCTAGAGGTGACAAGGATTATGCATACATACATTGTAGAATGCAACAATGGTTTTAGTCCCTCTCTTGAAGAACTCATGTCAAATCCTATCAGTCAATCTTACCTTCTGACTCCATCCATCTCGGTGTACGAGCTGTTATAGAATCCATCGTAGGTGTGTGAGAGGTCGGCAGAGTAGTCTATGGTCAAAACACAGAACTGGCCTGCTTTTAGCTCTGTGGAGAGCTTGATGGCCAACTGCTGTCTGGGTTTATATTCCAGTAAAGTCACATTGCTGGCCTCTCCATTTTCTAGCTAAAAGAGAGCAATAATCAGCTAATGAATTGGAATTAAAATAACAAAAACTAGTTTTGAAACTTACAAACGTCACGACAATGATCTGTACAATGATATAGGTACTTGCTCTTTGAATGTTGTTTAAATCCACTTACTCATTTGCACGCAAACACAAGCTCTTACCCTAAAGGTAGTTTTAGCTATGATGAGGTTAGCACCATGAAAGACAATGATCTTGGTTTTGTGGAGGACAGTCATGTTGATGACGGTGTGCCCAGTGAAGGTCATTGAGTCAAAGTCAGGGCTGATGGTGAGGTTGTAGCTGACAGGATGTACGCTGTAAGGCAGCCGATACTGGGCCCAAGGAAACAGTTCTCCATTGGTGGACACAGGGTAGACCGGCTCCAAGGGTGCAGTCTGATTTGGTTTATGACAACCCGCCTGTAAAGGATTGTGTTTATGTTAATGGAGGAGATGTTGGGTGGAGAATGACTGGTTATGGTATTGTGATTATGGTCTTACCCTTGTAAAAGTGCATCCAGGTAAAAAGTACAGAACCATGATCATAGAGACTATGATCACCAGAAATAGCACACATACAACCATGGTCCTGGCTGAAGGACGAGAACATGACCTGAAACCAAAAAAAAAAAAAGAATGACATTCAGGTCAAATCTGACACATGGAGGTTATTAGCATATAAAACTAATATGTCAACTTGGCAATCAAGGACACAAATCTATAGTGTGCCTTTGTTTTCCTGCTCTACATGTTTGTTTAAGCTCTGTGATCTTGGTGGTTCTAAAATGCTCTTAAAGTTAGGAGTGGACCAAATCACACAGGTGTTTAGACTTTTGTCTATGAAACTCAGTTTCATCTTATTCTTAGGGCTTTGTAATCTCTAGGTATGCAACAAAATCAATTGTTAGACAGTTAGAGATGATGACATGCAATTCAAAAGTTCTTGTTTAATTTCTTTGTTTATACAGTTAAAAAGATATGAATTGAGATACATTTACATAATTTGTTTTTAAAGTGGATCTTTTCAGTTTTGCTATTACAATTAGCAGATGTGTTGCTTTTTAACAGTTTGTTTTAATAAAACTCTTCACACTGTCAGAGAAAATATTATTAAGGTTTTACGTAGTACTGACTTAGTTCAATCTTTACTGTCTGTGTTCATTTTTTAGTCATTTTTTAACATTGCCTATGATATTTTCATTTCAACACACCGTACATCAGACTAAAACTCATTCAAGTGTATTACCTGGGTGGACCCTGTCTAGTGTAAGGGGAGGAGATGGATCTGTGAGCAGAGCTACGGTTCATGAAGGTCATCCCAAGCAGACGTGCTGAAGACTCATAGTCCTCCTCATCCTCGTCCAGGTCATTCTCTCCCAGACCTCGCACAAGCAGTCGAGAACTACTCGGCTCAAAAACAGCCTCATCGGGGTCGAGTGTAGGAAATGTCTGCAGACAGCATACAAACAGACATTTATTTCAGATACTACAGATTTGGTAAATTCAGAGGGGACAGATAGGTCTCCAACAGGTGACAGATGTGTAAGTGTTTGCTTTTCAAATAGAAGTACAGTTTAATAAATATACTGGAAAAAAGAAGAATTAAGCCTAAGGGCATAAGCATACTGATGTATTATTGTTTTTAAATTATTGTTTGTGTAGCACCTTCTGTAGGAGAGAACATGCTACATCCTTTAACATTTTTACCCATTTAAATGGACACACAAGAAGAAGATAGAAGAAATATCCTGTTCCATTAATTTAATAAACGTGGAGATTTTTAGCTCAGTCACTGATTTGCAGCCGATGGTACAGACACAAGACATAGGGTTGAAAAAGCATACTGGAAATGTTGTGGAGTCTTTGGCTAAGTCCACAACATCAGGCTCTTCTTCAAACATGCTGTTCTCGATCATGTTCCTTGGTAGATTGGCCCGTTCTGGAAGAAGGAAAGGAACTAAATCAGGGGGAGACAAAGATCTGAGAGGGAGGAACGTCATATACAGAATAGATGTGTATATGGGTTCTGCAAATAGAGCAGTGCTTGTAAGGGACTATGCAAAGGAAAATATTGGTCATATTTCACTAACACAATGTGCAGTCAACATGAAAGTACACCTAATACTGCATGCAGCTTCTTCAGTTTCCTGTTGGTAAAATCCCTGCAGTATTTCCTGTTTCCTTGACCTACAAAACCACCACTTTCTTTTAAGAACTTGACATTTAAGAATCAGTTGAAGCATAATTTAAAAGCAATTCTCTTCATAAACTTTGTTACATACATGTTTGCAGGGCCACTCGTTTAACTGCAGTTCTACTCATTTAAGAGCTCAAAACTAGGATTGTACTATGATAACTTTTTACAAACTGATACAAATATGAATATTTTAATTTGTGTACCTGTGGATACTGAGTGGGATCACCTTTTCAGGTACTTCTTGAGTTTGGTTTTCAATAAATATACAACAAATCAGAAGGCAGAGTTTAAAGGTGGAACAGCTTCATAGAAAATAAGATCACAGTGAGGACACCAGATGAGAAAATACTTACAGTCACTTTGTTACGCATTAACAGTAATCCATTTAAATCCAAGTAACAAATACTGTATTTATGTGTCGAGCACATCTATCCACTGAACTGATACTGAACTTAATTTTAAAAACAAATGCAGACATCAGATCACACACATTTTATAGTATTTGAATGTATCAGGCTGCTATGTATAGTTCATACCTGAGAAATACAAATACTAGAGTGTTAGTTATCATCTTGTTATACCCTGCTTAACTTAAACTTCTGCATTTCTAACAAAATTCTGCACCATCAGCATCCTGAGAAAAATGAGCTCCACTCTCCATATAATTATGCTTTCTGACTCAGCATTTCCAGAAACAATCAGAGATGTGGTTCACTGCCTAATGAAATAACATTGGAAGTGGTTAAATGCTATGCACAGCATGTCTTCCATTCTGTCCCACATTCCATTTGCACTCATTACAAGGCAAGGACAATGCATTTAAAATTTAACTAGGTTAACATCAAGATAGGCATGAATTAAGTAGACAGAATGTGAATGAAGAAACATTGTTCACAGAGGACAAAAACTAGCCACAGCTCTTAAAAAGCAGGACAAAAGCCCAGAAATGTGAGCGG